GTAGAGACAGGGTTTTACCGTGTTGGCCAGGCTGGTCTCGAACACCTGACCTCGAGATTCACCAGCCTCAGCTTCCCAAAGTGGCGGGATTACAGGCATGAGCCACTGTGCCTGGTCAGTCTTTGTGTTTCAGAGGGGACCCAGCACACCTGACCCCAGCCCTGGTCAGCTGCCTTCCCCCTTGATTAAAGGAAACCATTGTAATGAGATGTTGTAGAAATGCTCCCAAACATTTGGCGCCTGCTTTTCATTTTTTAGTTTCTCCAGGTAAGGGAAGTCACCAAAGACCTCTGTGAGCCGCCCTGCAGAGGGCGGTCCCCAGTCCAGCCGGGGCCCAGCACCGGGCAGCCCCTCTGCAGAGCCTGGGGCCCAGGAATCTCAAAGGGGCACAGACGTTGGCAGGGCTGTGGTGCTCACTGCTGCGGCATCACAGAGGGAAGAGGGTGAGGGGCAGGGTCTGGCAGACACCAGGTGCCACTTCACCTGTCCCCTCTTGAGGGAGCCGGGGAGGCTCCCTGTGCCCCAGTGTCTGGGTTTCTACTGGGGTCAGTCACAAGCCTGGCCCAGCTTGGGCCCCAGCCCTTCAGAGGTGGAGTTGGTCCCAGCAAACCAAGGCCCGGTGACCGTCTCACCCTCAGCCTGGACTCTCTGGGGTAACACAGGCACTCCGTCAGGCGGGGCTCGCCCAGGGCTCAGGGCCAGGCCTTCCCTGGACATGTGCAGGGTGCGAGCAGTCGTCTGGCGGTGCGTGGCCCCTGGACTTTGCTCCCCTTCCCAGGGAGGCATCTCCTTCACACGTGGACAGCCCCTTGGCCCCAGCTGGGCCTTAGGCTGTGGTTGCTGCGATGTGGGTGGCCTGGCATCTGCACCTGTGGTGGTGCTGTGCTGGCCCCAGCAGGCGGGTGTGCGTCGCGAGCCTGCCTGCCCAGCGCTGAGCATCCGTGCCAGCTTGAGGCAGCCCCTTTCAGCCCTTTGACACTGCCTCATGAAGCCCGTTTCGGAAAGGAGCTACCTTTGAGAAGTGCCTGTTGGGCCAGAACTCCCTGCTTTGGTCTGATCTTCTGCTTGCTAGGGTGGTCCTGTGCCTGTCGGGGAGTGGGCTGAGGACACAGCAGGGGGGCTGGGGTGGGGCTCTGTGCTGGTGCCCCCTGCGCACCCCTGCCCCCTACCCAGCTGACACCCGTTCCCTCTCTCTGCAGAACGGGCTTATCACCCCCCCCACCCCCACCCCTCTCTCCACAGAATGGGCTCATGTCGGGGCTTATGCAGATGCTGCTGCTGAAGGTGTCTGCGCACATCACCGAGCAGCTGGGCATGGCTCCAGGTGGCGAGTTCAGGGAGGCCTTCAAGGAGGTGGGCACAGGGCAAGGTGGTGGGTGAGCACGGGGACGTGGCTCCCAGGGGTGGCTCTGGGCTCCCACTGCTTCCCAACGCGCAGCCTCTGCTCCAGGCCAGCAAGGTGCCTTTCTGCAAGTTCCACCTGGGTGACCGGCCCATCCCCGTCACCTTCAAGAGGGCCATTGCTGCGCTTTCCTTCTGGCAGAAAGTCAGGCTGGCTTGGGGCCTGTGCTTCCTGTCAGACCCCATCAGGTAGGGTTGCCCCCGGGACCCCGGGTGGCCTGCAGGGTGGTTTGTGAGAGGCTCCAGGTCCTCCTGTGTGTGTCCAAGCGTGGCCACGCCTGCCCAGGCTGAGCCTCACTCATGGCCTTCCCTCCTACCCTTTCGCTTCCACCATGAATCCCAAACAAACATGCTGTGGTCCCTGCCTGGCACCCACGGCGCCAGCCCCCGCCGCTGCCCCGTCCCTGTGGGCTGCAGCCACCCCTCTCCACAGCAAGGATGACGTGGAGCGCTGCAAGCAGAAGGACCTGCTGGAGCAGATGATGGCCGAGATGGTCGGGGAGTTCCCTGACCTGCACCGCACCATCGTGTCCGAGCGCGACGTCTACCTGACCTACATGCTGCGCCAGGCCGCCCGGCGCCTCGAGCTGCCTCGGGCCTCTGACGGTGAGTCCGAGCGCGACGTCTACCTGACCTACATGCTGCGCCAGGCCGCCCGGCGCCTCAAGCTGCCTCGGGCCTCTGACGGTGACGGCCGCCCGTGGGCACAGGGCGCCTGTGAGGCTGAGGCCTGAGCAGGTACTAAACCCTTGTCCCTCCCCACAGCTGAGCCCAGGAAGTGTGTCCCCTCCGTGGTTGTGGGCGTCGTGGGCATGGGGCACGTGCCCGGCATAGAGAAGAACTGGAGCACCGACCTCAACATCCAGGAGATCATGACGTAAGCACCCACCTCCCAAGGCCCAGCCCGCCCCGAGAGCCCCCAGGTAGAGGCTGAGCCCCTGGGAGGCCAGCCATGCGTGGCAGTGACCCAGGCGTGGGGGCTGGGGTGTGGGGAGCCCACACCCAGCCAGGCCCAGCGCCCCCTCCCTCCCCCAGCGTGCCCCCGCCGTCCATCTCCGGCAGAGTGTCTCGGCTGGCCGTCAAGGCCGCCTTCTTCGGCCTGCTGGGCTACAGCCTGTACTGGATGGGCCGCCGCACCGCCAGCCTAGTCCTGTCGCTGCCCGCCGCGCAGTACTGCCTGCAGAGGGTGACTGAAGCACAGCACAAGTAGGAGGCTGCTCCCGCACGCTCAGGGGCCCCTGAGGAGCCAGTGCCCGAGGCACTTCCTGGATGCCAGGCGCATCCAAGCCCACCCGAGGCCCCTGCCACCCCCCATGGGGGTCTGGGCCGGGCCTCACCTGCCCTCCCGGACCCATTACCGCTCCCCCAGCCCACCCAAATAAAGAATTATTTAACTGTCTCAGCTCAGGCCTCCCGCAGCCCCTCCCCTCCAACACTGCAGGGGCCGTTCACCGGCTTCTGGACAAGACGCCCAGCTCCGGGGGCGGGCAGGGGCTTGGAGAAGAGGCCGAGGTGTGTGCCCTCTTAGCCCTGGTGGCAGGCGGAGGACAATGGCCACTGTCCCTACCTCACTGTGCCTTCCTGTGCTCTGGCCCTGGGAGCGTCCTGCCAGGGGCAGCTCCTGGGAGCTCCCTAGCAGGCGAGAACTGGGAAAGGCCTGGCCCTCGAGCTCCAGCCGACCCCACCATGCCGCTGGCATCCTGGGCCTGGCTGCCACCTCCCTGACGCCGTCTCCCAGCAGGGATTCTGTGTTTTTGGCTTTTTTAATGTTTCAAAATCTTTTACTCAGGTAATTTTAACTTCAAAGAGAAAAACTGAAGTAAATGTCAAAAAAACACCAGCCTTAAATCCGGGGGACAGAATTTGTGTTCTTGGGTCTGTCCCGAGTGGGCCTGTGTGCAGCTGAACATCAGCTCTGGGCCCAGGCGGGGCCTCAGCTGGGAGCCTGTGTCCTGAGTCCCCCGGAGTGAGGGGGTGCCCAGGGGCGTCCTGGCCCTCTGTGGACACTGTGTGTGCCTGGCTCCTGCCAGGCCTGCCCCCTCAGGCCTCCTGCCCGGTGGCCACCTGTGTGCTGGGAGTCCCTCCTGGTTGTGCTGCACGTAGCCCGTGCAGCCTCAGCCTGGACCCCGGCGATCTCTGATTGTGTCTGCTGACTCAATGTTGAATCAAATCAGGTGTGCGTAAGGAGCTGGCTGTGTCCTTCCTGCCACACTCGGGGATTCGTTCCATAGAAACTGAAATAAATTCTAATTTTGGAAACTCCTGTTTTGTGATGTGTGGAAATGGGGCTCAGGTAATGAATGACCGTAGTCTCTTCCCTGTGCTCCCGGGCAGCGGGTGCTGGCAGCCCTGCCGGGGCCCTGGGGGAACTTGCCTGGTTCCCAACAAAGGAGACAGGGCCACTGTCCCTCCATGCTGACCTGTGGGATGCAAGTGGCCTGACCCTCACGACCCTCCATATCCAGTCCCACAGATTCCAGAGTGTGGATCGGACGGAGGCCAGGGGGCGAAAGGACGGGTCAGGAGGGCCCAGGGCCTGAGGGGTGACACCTGCCCGAGAGGATGCTCGGAACAGGGTGGGCAGAGTGCCTGGCGGGGGCTGCCGCAGAGGGAAAAGCTGGCCTGCAGGGGAGTGTCGGGCCCTGGGACCTCAGCACGTTGGGCCTTATCCACGTCACCCACCCACCCACGCGGAGGGTCCTGAGGGCTTCGCCAAGCTGTAGCCCCAGGAGAAGGTGCTGGATGCAGCTCCCGGAAGTGAAGGGTGGACTCGCGGCGCTGCCGGAACAAAGGGAGACCACAGGCGGGCGAGGAGCGCGTCCGGGGGCTGCGGGCACCGCCTCGCTGCCCTCTGGGGCCCGGTCGGGGAGGGGGTGGAAAGCAGGACGGCCTCAGGCTCGTCTGAATCCCCGCGTTCATTCGGCCAAACGGAACCCAGACCCCTCCCCCGGGGTGGGGCCCCTCCAGCCAGCCCCGGACGCCGGTGCCCGCCCAGCCCTCTGCGAGCGTCTGCGCCTGCGGCCTCGCGGGGCCTCTCCGAGCCCCGGCTCGGTTCCGGGGGCGGTGCCGGGTCCAAGACCCCTTCCCTCCTAAACAGGAGAGGGGTCCGAGGGCCGGGAGGCCAGGGGAGCAGGTCCCCGAGAGGCGGCGCGAGGCTCCGGGAGGCCCAGAGCCGCGGCGGGGGCCGGGTGGGGTCCCGGTGGGGTCCCAGCCGCCTGTGAGGCGCGGCGCTAAGCCCCTGCCCGACCCGAACGGACTGCCGGCTCCGGTGCAGCCGAGGAAATCCAGGGCTGCCCGAGCGGGGCCGCCGGCGGCGGTGGCGGGGACGTCACCCAGCGTCACCCCGCTGGCGACAGCGCGCGCCCCAAGACGCCGGCTGCCACCCCGACGCCTCCGGCTCTCTGGACCCGAGATGCGAACAGACGGACGAGGCAACCAATCAGTGCCCGGTACGACACCGCCCCGCCCCTCCCACTGGCGACTGGGTTCCGGAGCACGCGGGGCGGGGCTTCCGGGCGGGGAAGGCCGGCTTCCGGTGGGAGCGGCACTGCGGATGGCCGCGCGCAGGGTCGCGGTCTGCGCCTCGCTCGCTGCTACCCGACCCCTGCCCCTCGGCCGCCGCCGCCTGTCGCCCGTGCCCCGCTCTGCGTTGTCGGGCGCCGCCATGGAGCCTGCGCCGCGCTGGCTGGCGGGACTGCGCTTCGACAACCGCGCTCTGCGCGCGCTGCCGGTGGAGACGCCGCCTGCCGGTCCCGAGGGCGCCTGGACCACGCCGCGGCTCGTGCCCGGGGCCTGCTTCACCCGCGTGCGGCCCACCCCGCTGCGGCAGCCCCGCCTCGTGGCGCTGTCGGAGCCCGCTCTGGCGCTGCTGGGCCTGGGGGCGCCGCCCGCGCCCGAGGCCGAAGCCGAGGCCGCGTTGTTCTTCAGCGGCAACGCGCTCCTGCCGGGCGCCGAGCCCGCCGCGCACTGCTACTGCGGCCACCAGTTCGGCCAGTTCGCCGGGCAGCTGGGCGACGGCGCCGCCATGTACCTAGGCGAGGTGTGCACGGCGGCCGGCGAGCGCTGGGAGCTGCAGCTCAAGGGCGCCGGGCCCACGCCCTTCTCCAGGTGGGCCAGGGCGGGCGAGGGGCGCGGGTGGGTCCTCCCCGCCGGGGCGCCCCTGCCCCTCCGCTCGGCGCGGTGTTGGGGGCGTCCTGCGGCCTCTGCCAGGTGGGGCCTGTCCTCCATCCGCGGGAACGCGGTGCTGGCAGCCGCCCGCGCCCTGTGCTTATCAGTCTGCAGAGGACCTTGGAGTCGGCTCCACCAGTGACGCCGCTCGTGTTTACCGACCTTCGCTGGGGCAACAAGCCCAGGGGCGGGAGCCGGGGTGAGGGGTTAGGCTAACCCTAACCCCGCAGGCCCCCAGCCTTCCTCCCATCGCTCATGGGGCGGGCCGCTTGGTCCAGCAGCCTCGCTCTGCAGCTGACTTCACAGAAACCTTGTCCTGACTCCCTGCGGGCAGCCCTCTTTGACCCCGGAGTGAGGTGGGCATCGTTTCGATTCCTGGGGCGGGGGGGACACAGGTGGTCCAAGGCAAGACCTGGGTCCAGATGCCGAGGCCCACAGGGGAGCCATGCACTCGCCACCTGCCTCCTGTGTACAGACAGCGGTCCATTCTGCTCTTTTCCACTAAACAGTTAATGAACTTACTCCATGTTTTTTACTGCCTATGGAATGACTGAGAAAAGAATATCCACAAGTGTATATTTTACGTTCAGAGACATGCTAAATCCGCCTCTCATGGGACTCCTCCCTGTGCTCTCATCTCCTCCCTATCCAGCGCCTGAAATGCCCCTCAGCACCCCTTTCCCAGGGCTCCGTCTCCCCGGCAAGCTCCTCAGACTGACAGGGGTCTTCCTCACCACCCCCCAAACCCATTCGGTTCTGTGTCTGAAAAGTTGGCTGAGGGCAGCTGGGGTCCCTGCCTCACCAGTGTCTGAGATTGAGGCTAATGTCTGAAGTGGCCGTGAGAAGTAAGAGACTTGTACAGTGAAAAAATTAAAGAAGACATAAATAAGTGGAAACATCCCTTGTCCATGGGTTGGATAACTTATTAGAAAGACAACTCCTGGCCAGGCGCGGTGGCTCACACCTGTAATCCCAGCACTTTGGGAGGCTGAGGCAGATGGATCATATAAGGTCCGGAGTTCGAGACCAGCCTGATCAACATGGACAAACCCCATCTCTACTAAAAATACAAGATTAGCCGGCGTGGTGGTGCATGCCTGTAATCCCAGCTCCTCGGGAGCCTGAGGCAGGAGAATTGCTTGAACCTGGGAGCTGAAGGTTGCAGTGACCAAAGATTGTGCCACTGCACTCCAGCCTGGACAACGAGAGCGAAACTCCATCTCAAAAAAAAAAAAAAAAAAAAAAAAGCTCTTTGAAGGGATTGTTGCAGTCCCTATCAAAATACCAGTGACAGTTTTTGCAAAAATAGAAGAACCCATTCTAAAATTGACATGGGGTCAGGTGTGGTGGCTTATTCCTATAATCCCAGCACTGGGAGACCAAGGGAGGAGGATTGCTTGAAGCCAGGAGTTGGAGACCATCTTGGGGAACAGCAAGACCATGTATATTCAAAAAAGTTTTTTTAATTAGCTGGGTAAGGTGGCGTGTGCTTGTAATGTCAGCTACTCAGGAGGCTGAGGTGGAAGAATTGCTTGAGCCCAGGACTCAAGGCTGCAGTGAACTGTGATTGTCTCACTGCACTCCAGACTAGATGACAAGAGTGAGACCCTTTTTCGAAAGGTAATACAAAGAAAGTTGGACTCGTGCTTCCTGATTTCAAAACTTAACCACAAAGCTGCAGTCAGCAATGTGGCATTGGCATAAGGATAGATGTAGAGCAGAATAAAGAGCCTAGAAATCAACCTTCATATATGTGGTCAGCAGATTTTTAGCAAGTGTGCTGAGACCATTGGATGGAGAACAGACGTTTCAACAAAGGGTGCTGTGAAGACTGGATCCTCATGCAGAGGAATGAAGCTGGGTCCTTAACTACACCTTGAACAAAGTTAGCTGAAAAGTGGACCTAAGAGCTAAAACTCTTAGAGGAAACAGGGGAAATGGTTCATGACGTTGGATTTGGCAGTGATTTCTCAGCTATGCCACAAAAGGCACTGGTGACCGAAGGAGAGATGGCCAAACAGGACTTCATGAACACTTAAAATTGTGCACAAAAGACGGTGTTAACAGGGTAAAAATGCAGTCCACAGAATGGGAGGAAATATTTGCAATTCATACATCTGATAAGGGATTAATATCCAGATCATACAGAGAACTCTCAACACTCAGGAAAAAAAACAATTCAAAAATGGACAAGTGTTTGAATAGACATCTTCAAAGATTTGGCTAATAAGCACATGAAAAGTTTTATAGCACATGAAAAGATGCTCAACATTAATCATTAGGAAAATGCAAATCAAAACTACAGTGGGATGCCACCTCATATCCATTAGGATGGCAACTATTAAAAAAAAATTTTTAAAGGTTGGTCAGGCTCAGTGGCTCATGCCTATAATCCCAACACTTTGGGAGGCTGAGGTGGGTAGATCACTTGAGGTCAGGAGTTTGAGACCAGCCTGGCCAACATGGTGAAACCCCATCTCTGAAAAATACAAAAATTAGCTGGGTATGGCATGCCTGTAATCCCAGCTGCCTGGGAGGCTGAGGCAGAAGAACTGCTTGAACCCAAGAGGTGGAATTTGCAGTGAGCCATTATCACCCCACTGTACCTCAGCCTGAATGACAGAGTGAAAAAGACCCTGTTTCAAAAAAAAAAATTGTAAGTTAAAAAGTGTTGAGGTTGTGGAGAAGTTGGAACCCTGTGCACTGCTGGTGGGAATGTAAAATGGTGCAGTTGCTGTGGAAAACAGAATGGAAGTTCCTCAATTAAAAAGAGAGTCACTGTATTCTGCTTCTGGGTATGTCCCTAAGAGAAGGATCTCAAGGAGATATTTGTATATCCATATTCATAGGCAGAAGGCAGAACAGGTGTCTTAGCAGACGAGTGGATGAAATGTAACCTGTACATACAGTGAGAAACTATTCAGCCTTAGAAGACTGTGATACATGGTGCAGCTCCCATGCCCCCTGAGGGAAATCAGCCAGTCACAGCAAGGCAGATCCTGTGTGGTTCCACCTACATGAGGTACTTAGCACAGTCGCATTCACAGAGACACGGTAGAGTGCTGGGTGCCAGGGGCCGGGGGAAGTCGAGG